GCTGCTTTCACATAGTGGCAGCAATGTTGAGCAGTTGTGTCAGGGACTCTAAGGCCCATACTAAAGAATTTCCTCTAATTCTTTAGAGAAAAACTTACCAATCTCTAGTTTATAGCATCAAGTATTTATGTCTCACCACATTATATGCTGATGACAAGTTAGAAGTGGCTGTACTCTATGTCATCTTCAACCCAAGAGGAACAGCCTTTGCCTACAGAAGTAGCGGTCACTGTAGTAAAGGGAATAGAGAATGTGGAGGATTTGCACTGCTCTGAAAGCTTCTACACCACAGTTTTTAACATGGCAACTTCCCATATATTTCACTGGCCAAAAACAAGTTACATGGTGATGCCTAAATTCACCATCGGTATTCTATGTTCCTCCCATATGCAGAGTAACCAAATCTCCTGCAGTTCTCCCTTTCACATCCATTTCCTGAGCTTATGATCATTCACCTAAAGGGGACATTTTTCCAAACCCCTTTAAAAATAGAGGCTGGGGATATAGCCCCAGTGGCACAATGCCTGCCTGGCAAGATCAAGGTCATGAGTTCAATTCCCCAAAAATAAAAATTTAAAAAAATTTACAACCATGTGATTCGTTCTTCCCAAAGAAACAGTCAAAAACACCTCTACTTTATTAAAAGGAAATTACACAGGGGTGTAGTGGTACATGCCTGTAATGCCAGTCCTCTGGAAAGGTAAGGCAGGATGACTGTAAGTTCGAGCCCAGCCCAGGCACTTTAGCAACTTAGTGAGAGCCTGTCTCAAAAGTATGAAAAACAGAAGGAGGCTTAGGGGATGTAGCTCAATGCAAAAGCCCTGGATTCAATCCCCAGTACCTCAATTAATCAATGGCAATTGCTTTACCTGGACTTTGTTTCCCCAGCCTGCAGCACATTCTACCATTCAGAAAATGTCCTAGAGTGGAATAATAAAAGAGGAAGAATTTGGATCCCAGAATAACCTCATTTAACACCTCATAGAACCTTAAAAGTCTAGACCAATCATATTATTTTGGCAGAAAGTAATAAATTTATTGATTATTTAAGCAACTATATTTTAGGGTCCCTTTGTTATAGTGGTTTCAGCTCTCGTCTTGATTCATGCTCATGTTTTTCACGAAAGATGCACAGTATGTAACGGATTAAGTACTAACAGTATTCAAGATGAAAATATGAGTCATTTTCATCCAGGGTAAAGAGGTTGAGTAAACCAAGACTTCCAGCAAAGAAAAGCCCAACTCCAGACGGCCTCATGGCTAAATTTTAAAGTAGTATCTTAAAAATCAACATTAATATAGTACTTAATAAACACTATTAAAGAATTAAATTCTATTAAGAATTAAAGAGAAGGGCTGGAAATGTGGTTCAGTGGTAGAGATCTTGCCTTGCATGCACCAGACCCTGGGTTCGATACCCAGGCACCACACACACAAAATAAATAAATGAAAAGGAATTAAAGAGAAAATATTTTCCAATTTATTCTATGATGATAGTATTACCCGAATACCAAAACCAAACAAAGACATCACAAAAAAAACTGTAAAACAGTATAGCTTATGAATATAGAAACAAATTCTTAAAAACAAATTTAAAAAATAAATCTAGAAAGGTATACAAAGAAATATATATATATTGAGACTACATTGGGGCTTTTTAGAGGACTACAAGGTTGATTCAGCATATAAAAAAATTAATCAATGTAATACACCATATTAATGGAGCAAAAGACAAAAATTAGTTATCTCAACAGAAATAGAACCACTATAGGACAAAAATACAACAGGTTGTCATGATTAAATAAAAAACAAGGGCTGGGGATTTAGCTCAGTGGCAAAAGCGCCTGCCTGGCAAGCACAAGGTCGTGAGTTCGGTTCCCGGTACCGGAGAAAAACAAAAACAAAAACAAAAAAAACAAAAAAACAATAAATGTACACATACATACAAACTAAAAATTTGTGCTTTAAAAAAAAAAAAAAAAAAAAAAATTTGTGCTTTAAAGAGCACTAGCGAAGTGTAAAAAGATTATAGACCTGGCAGCACGTGACTAAATTCCCAGGTATTTGGGAGACTGAGGTTGGGGGACTACAAAATCAAGGCCCACCAGGGCAACTTAGTAAAACACAGTTTCAAAAACTAAAAATTGTGATGACGTAGTTCAGGGTCCCCTGTATTCAATCTCCAGTACCTCAAAAGTCAATTCATCAAATGAAAAGACAACATAAAGAATGGGAGAAAGTGTTAGCAAATCATATATGTAGTAAGGGTCTAGTATACGAAGACATCTACCCACATACAAAAATACTCTTACAACTCAAAAACAAACAACTCAAAAACAAAAATACCAACAACCAAGTACAACATATGGAAAGACAAAAAAAGATAAACAAAATAAGCCATGAGAAGAATGCTCAACATAGTCATTAGACAATTCAAATCAAAACTACACTTTACACCCACTAAGATGGTTATAAGAAAATAACACAAACATACTGGTGAGGAGGTATATGGAAATGGAATCCTTACATATTCCTGGTAGAAATGTGAAACAGTCTAACAAGTCCTCACAAAGTTAAGTATGGAATTACTGTATGATGCAGCACTTCCATTTTGGGTACATATTCAAATGAAATATAATCACATGTATACCCCAAAATTTGTACACAGATATTCAAGTATCAATACTATTCGAAACAAATACCCAAAAGTAGCCAAACGATGGAAGCAAATCAAATACTATAAACTTATATGGGTAAGTAAAATCTGGTGCCTCCACAGAAATGGAGTACAATCAGATATAAAAGGGAACCAAGTACCCAAACTTTCCATAACGTGGATGAAATTTGAAAACATCATGTCAAGGGAAAGAAGCCAGACACAAAAGACCACATATTACATAATTCTATTTATATTAGAAATCCAAAATATGGAAATCTATGGAGATAGAAAATAGATTAGGGGTAGAGAGCATAAGGTGCTTAATGGATATAGAATTTCCTTTCAGTGATGAAAATATTCTGGAATTAGATAGTGGTACTGCCTACAGAACATTGTGAACAGACTAAATATCTTTAATGGTAAATGTTAAATAGAAAGAGTGCTAGGGATACAGCTCAGTGGTAGAACACACACCTAGCACACATGAGGACGTGAGGTCAATCCCAGCACCATTAAAAAAAAGGCAAATAGACAAAGAGGACCACATATTATATGACTTTATATAAAACACACACAAGAGGCCAATTCATGGAACCATAAAATACCTTAGTGGTTGCCAGGGGCTCAGGGATGGGAGACTGCTGAGTATGAAGTTTCCTTTGGATGATAAAAATCTCATCGACTAGTGATGATGGCAGAGCAACTTTGTAAATATACTAAAAGCCTGAATTTATGGTATGTGACTGTATCTCAATTTTTAAACAAACTAGGACCAAAACCAGCTATCATCTCAATTCTGAGATCTTACAAAGGAACTAAATCTAAACAGGATAAAATAAATTATATATGACCCTAAAGTCTGTTAATAGTAGAATGAGGATTATTAAACGAGATATTTTAGTTCTTAGAATATTTTTAAAAAATAAAATACCTTTAACAAGCAAATTTATTCACAAGAGATTACATTCTTTATAATATTTTTAAATGTGATGGTAAAACCAACATTCTGAAATTCTAGTATCTTTTTTTTGGATTCCAAAACCTTGATTCATTAATAATCATTCTGTTACAGGAAAACTTCACTAGTACTTCAAAAGCATTCTTAATAATTAAAGATTTAATCACTTATCATTCACAATTTAGAATATTACAGTCTTAAACATTAATCAGGCTTTTAGAAAACATCAAATTTGTGAAATACTGAGTTAACTTTGCAGTGCTTCAAACTTGTGCAAAAATACTGTAATATACTCTATATTGGGTTTTTGAAAAATTTGACAGTCTTACCATTTAGAGCTGGGAGCCTATGTTCCCTCCACTTGACTCTGGGCAGAGCTGTGACTGCTTCAACCAATACAGTATGGTGGAATGACCTTTCTAAATTCCTGACCTAAAGAATCATTGAGCTGATTAAAATGATTATTGTTTTACATCACTTAACGTGAAGTGGTGTATTATACAGCAGAGTTAACTGAACTAGCACATATGATATTCATAATACAAACAAGGAACTCTTGTCCCTGATGGTTCCCTTTTCATAGTACTCTAAAATCATATACTTTCTCAAGAAAAAAAAAAGGCCAGACATGAAAATGTATGTATATGTAAACATATCCATTTTTTAAAGTAGACACAAAAATCATTTTTCAATCAGCTAAAAATATAGGCTAATATTTTAGTATTAATATTTTAGCATGTTACAAGAGTCAAAATATCCCCAAAGGATATCTTATAAATATATCATGTACGTTACCTTAGGCTTCTAAAAATTATGTGGTTCTTCACACTGAGATGTAATTGAGACAATTTATACTGAATAAACAGTCTTCCTTTTAACAAGGCCCTTTCTAAAACTGATTTCTATTAGATTATCCTAATTAACAAAAGGTTTGGCCTTGTGAATTACTTTAAAAAGATTCTCATACTGGCCTAACCGGCTTTAGACGTTTTATCTTTCAAGTTAGGACAAATTTTACCTTTCAAGTTAGGACTCTGCCTATCCATACTGGGTAAACAAAAATGATAATCCCTGGACCTGTATCTGTATCTTACTTAAAATGACCCAGATGATTTTAAGGATTTAATGAGAGAAGATACAAAAAACTCTGAGCACTGTTTTAGGTACAAAAGAGATATAATAACTCTGAAATCTAATTTTAGGACTCGAGGCTACTTAGTAGCACTAAGAGGAGACTCATACACTCACAGATAATATACAGATTTTAGAGTTGCATATTGAATTTTATAAACTACAATAAAAGTTAAGCATATGATAAAATGTAAACATTTTTTACTCAATAGAGCATTTCAGTAATGGAAAAGGTCATTTACAAATAGTTACCTTGATCAAGTATTTTTCCCATCTGTCTGCTGTAACCGATTTGCCAATCTTCCTCATCAACTTCAAATGGAGCTCCACCAATTCTTTTGGTACTTAAAAGAAAGGTAAAAAATACTGTTAACCTTTTGTAAATAAAAACAATTTTTCTCATGAATATTTTCTCAAAACAGATGACAATGATTCTACTTTTTACATTTATGAATCAAAACCACCTAAACTAGAACAAGAATGCTTCAAAATTAACAATGAGCAGGAATGTATTCTTCCAAACTGCTACCAGGGAACAATGAAATCTAATATAAACTACAGACTTAAGGTGATAATTACTGTAGATTCACTGGTTTTAACAAATATACCACTGTAGTGGAGGAGGTCACGCACATGTGGGGACAGGAATACATGTGAATGCTCTGAACTTGCTTAATTTTTTGTGAATGAAAATCTGCTCCAAAAAGTAAAGTTAAAAAAAAAAAAAAAAAAAACCTTTCATAACTATCATTATAGCTCATTGGAGAGCCTTTGTCTAGCATGCATAAGGCCCTGGATTCAATCTCCAGTACCACACAAAAAAAGAAAAGAAAAACTACCATTAGGCTAGAGATGGCCTGACAGAGCACTTGCCTACTATGTGAGAGGCCCTGAGTTCAATCCCCAGCATTGCAAGTTAAGAAATACTATACTGTCATGTAAAAGCACTGAAACTACACAACAAAAATTTCTAATCCACTTGTTTCCCATAGCACATATTTGGTATCTTTACTGAGAATCCAGGCCAAAATATAAATTCACCAAATCAAAAAATGAGTCAAGAAATATAATTCCAAATTAGTAGATAACTCAGAAATCGGGTCCAATGGTTTTCAAGCCAATTCAAAAAGCTTCTTTCACTCTATCCCTCATCTAACGTATGAAGCTCCTCTACCGTATTCCCATGGATCTTTGCCTGACAACTCACAGACAAAAAAATTCACTGATCTTCCAAATACTAGTTCCATTTTCTAGATAGTTTTAACTATTAGAAAATTACCCTGCAGCCCTACAACTTCTTCCTCTGGGGCTGGCTCTCTCTAGTTTAAAAAACAAAACTTTTAATTCCTCTTCTATTGGAGCTTTCAAATATTTGTAGATTAGTTTTCTAATCTAACTATAAATAACCAGACTTCCTCCAAATACCCCTTGGGCAAGATCTAAGTTTTAAAATTATATTAATTAGGCCCAATGAATATAAAAGAAGCACATGCCTGCCAAATTTTGTATTTCCTAAATGCCAACAGTGACATAAGAGAAATGACAGGTATCCTGCCTAAAAAGTTTTCATAATCTAATATATTAGAAAAATACTAGTTAAAAGAAAAAAACCCAGAGCAGAACTTCAGGAAACCATTTGACTCCTTTTATGGTGTATTATGAATATCCAACATAGAAGTATGATCTTCAGTGTTCTCTAATAGACTTGATCTAATATTTTATACTATGTAAATTCTTCAAGGCACACTCTGACATTGGAAATTGATGGCGCAATTTTTTTTCAGGCATTCTTTCCAGCTCTTTATTCTTCACTAAAGATATTTCTAATTTGAAACAACTTTGAAATAGTAAGACATTCACTCATCCAACAATTTTTTTTTTCTGTTTTTTTTTCTGGTACTGGGAATCAAACTCACGACCCTATGGTTGCCAGGCAGGTGCTGTGCCGCTGAGCTAAATCCCCAGCCCCTTCATTCAACAAATTGCTATGGCTTTACTATCAGCAAGTAATAATACTGCCTGTCCTTAATGAACCTACATAAATAAAACTTCAGTGGAGTAGAGAACAATGGGTTATGGGAAAGAGAAAGAAGGTATCACAAACAAGTAAACAAACAACTACCACAGACTTACAGTACAAAGCTGAGATCACACAGTATAGAAAAGAGCAAGAAGGACACTACTTGTAGAAACAAAGGCAGGTGTAAATGGCTGAAAAACCCGAAGTGACTATGGAACTAGAGGCACGGAACTGAACAAAAAAGAGTTTTATAAGGCCAGGCTAAGAAATTTAGATTTTATTTAAGAGTTTAAGCAGGAGATTGCTGTGTATTTTATAAAGATGTTAATAACGAATGGGAGGATGACACACTGTTAAATAAAATCTGTTACTTGCTTATTTTAGGAGTAGGGGTACAGGGCAAATATTAGATATAAATTGAAGAAAACATTAATCAAAAAAACATAGGAGAAGCGTGAACTAAGGTGGGGTGGTACCTAGAGAAGTGGGCAGATCTGAAAAATGTTACAGAAACAAAATTAATAAAACTTAGTGACTGGTTATGCAGTTACAGAGAAAGAGTCAAGAAAGCCAGAGGCATTGCTTAGGTAGCTGAGTAGATGCCCACAACAATACAGTAGATAAAAAGTAAGAATGCAGGCTCAATGCTCAGTGCTACCATACATACAAGTAGCTGAGTACTCTCAGCTCTGATCCTCAGTTTCACCACCTGTAATAAAAAGCTGTGCTGACTACCTCACCATTTTAAAATTGCCAATCATTATATAAAACTAAAACATACTCATTTTTACTTTTGCAGTAATTTTCTGGAAACCACGGTCACTTTCAATTTCTCCTTCTGCCCAAACATAGCAATCCTGACAGCTTTCTGTTTCTACATCTCAAACATGCTCTCAATTTACCCTGTTTTTCTAAGACGTCACTATACCTTCTCATTTGACAAAAATAACTACAGTCAGTAAGCAAACCAATTTTCCAAAAGATACTGCCTTCATGTCACTTCCCAGCTGCTTTTTTTTTTCTTTCCAGGTGTGGTGGCAAACCCCTATAATCCCAGCACTCAAAAGGTTGAGGCAGGAGGATTGCAGTGAGTTCAAGGTAAGCCAGGGCTACATAGTAAGTTCAAGGCCAGCCTAAACTATGCAGTAAAACCCTGTCTGGAAGGAAAGAAGGAAGGGAGGAGAGAGGGAGAGAGGGAGAGAGGGAGAGAGGGAGAGAGGGAGAGAGAGAGGGAGAGAGAGAGGAGAAAGCAAGAAAAAGAAAGCAAGAAAAAGAAAGCAAGAAAGAAAAAGAAAGCAAGAAAGAAAAAGAAAGCAAGAAAGCAAGAAAGAAAGAAAGAAAGAAAGGCAGGCAGGCAACATTCCTCAGGTTGGCAAACTTGCAATCTTCCTGCCTTCACCCTCCCACATAGAAGGGTTGCTCCCGGGAAGATGGTATAGTGATGTGCAGCAGAGAAAGAGCCTCTCCCAGATTTAATGTCCAGACACTGGAATATAGCAACATGAGTACGAGAAGGAGTGAAGTGGGTCCCAAGGACCCAGGAAGGATGTGAAGTGAGAACTGAGGCCCACAGCGAGAGCAAAGAGAGAAACTTCAAAGAGGAGGAAGAACAGGCAGGTGGTGCTCTCTCCCTGAGCCCAGACTCACTGCCTAGGAGAGAAGGCCTGAACCTGCAGACCCACAGTGTCAGCTGGCAACCCCAAAGGCCTCCATGGAGAAGTGCACCACTGGAATGGAACAGTGGACACAGCGGACTGCAATGGCTTGTGAGCTGTTCCCATTCAGACAGCCTGCAAGAGAAGACAACTGGCCAGGAGTCATCTTGGAAAGAAGCCAACTGAGCTCAGGATTCTGGAGTGGCTGCTGGCTCCACCTAGTGGCTCCCAGACAAGTTCAAACCCACAGAGGGCACAAAGACTGCTGTAGGCTGGGTGGGTCTGGTTCCCAATCAGCAGGCAGAGGCCAGCCCAAACTTCAGTGGAAATAGGGGTACAGTCTTGCTGAGATTATCCACTGCCCTGCTGTGAAGCTGCTGCTGGCTTGCTAGAATTAAGTGACATGGATCTGGACTCTGTCTGCCCACACTGTCTACCAGAAACACACCATGAAGTGGACAGTTTATTTTCCTTTTCTTTTTTTTCTCTCTCTTTTCCTTTATTTTCTTTCTCTTTTTTGTTTCTTCTTTTTTGTTCAGTGTGAACAAGGTTTCTAGTTTTTTGTTGCTCTCTTCTGTTGTTGTTCTTGTTTTTATTTCTGCTTTCTCTCTTGCCCTCCTGTCTTCTGCATGTTTCTACAAGTTTGTAAGAACCTTTGTCTTCTGCTCTTGCTTCTAATCTCTCTTCTATTTCTCTATCTTTCCTCCTAACCTCTTTTAAATTTTCTCTTCTGAGGGTAAAATTGCCATTTTCAGGGCTTATTTACTGCATACAATGTTCTGGTTCCCTTTAGATTTTGTTATATAACCACAAGTCTAGCTCATATGGTAAAAAGTGCCAAATCAATAGTTACCTCTATTTGTCATTTGCTAGGCTGTGTTTGATGCTAATATTATTGCTCATTGTATCACTTTAGCCAAAATGACTAAATTGTTCTAACCATTTGTTCTTCCTGGTACACGAAACTGAAACTGCCTAAAGGTCATAAAAAATACTATAAAGTCAGTGCCAAACAACCTGGAGCAGGGCCAAGTAAGCAGCAACTTCTCATCCCCAATAAATAGAAGGGGTAGGATCTTGCAACAGACTCAAAACCAAAAGCAAGCTACATCTGGAAGACACCTCTGAGAAGTAATTATTTCCTAAAGGAAATAAAGCTGTTCACCCTAGGCAATTTACAAACATCAACCCAGGAATTAAACTAAAAACAAACAAAAAGCCTAAATGAGAAGACATGTAAACAAGATGCAACCCCAGACATCCAGCTCACCAAAAGCAAACCCATGGTGCAATGAGGTGAAACAATCTGAAAGCTATCCACCTGGACTCTCTGAAGGGAGAAAGCAAATGAACAAGGCTCTAGAAAAAAATCAAATCAGAAATAATGTCTCAGATAACTACAAAGATGGTGACCATAATGAAAGGATGCTTAGTGACTCTAGAGCAGATAAAGATTAAAAAATAGAAGAGTTTCGCAAAATGTGTAAACCATGAACATCCAACATAGGAAAGAAACGGAATCCATTAAACAGAGTCAAACAGATATCTAGGGGATTAAAAATTCTGCTGAAAGTATACACAGCAGAACAAGCCAATGTGAGGACAGAATCTCAGATATAGAAGACAGGATTGTGGCTAGCGATCATGCAAAGAAAGATTTCTTAAAAGT